ACGGTGAATCAAACTGTCGCATTAGTTAATGTCATGTTGATGCCTTTAATCTAAAAGACGATATCTTAGAAGTCATCTGTGCAAGTAATGTTTTCATCGTCCCTTTTGGCAGTTATTCCCTCGACCAGAGAAACGGTGGCTTAAGAGTGACATAATATTGAAAACAATTCTTTTTTTGGAAACCTTAAATCTGTGGACTTTTTTTAGTAAGGAGTTAAATTTACTTATTTATTTCTTTTATTTTTCATTAATCAATTAATTGATTTACAATAAAATATATGTATAAGGTAGAATTACAAATAGAATAACAAGCATATTACGTGCCTTGCAAAATTAATCACAATTATGAAATTTAAAAAAATGCTAGAAATGAAACACACGATTTATCAACTTATGTTTCAAGAAATAATAATAATAATGTTAAAAGAAATAATAAAAAAATATATTTATGAAAACTACAAAAAGGAATTGTCAAGATTAAAACACGTGCCTACTAGGTCACAACTTCGTCATATTTACCACTAGGCAGTATAAATTGATTTAATATCGAGATCTATACTTTCAATAAAATCTTTAACATTAATCATAATAAGTTACGGGAACTAATGAAACACCTCCCGAAAATTAATGAGTCTCAGGTCAATATTGCCAAACAATACTAGTCTAGCAGTTTCTTGACAATATTGCTATGCAACTCAATATATTTTTCCTCTTTTCTTTATACTTATTTACTTAACCCATTAAACTGATTGTTCTTATATTTATGATAATACAATCATTTTTCTATCCGGCGCCTTGATGATTTAGCATCAAAACTTCTACTTGTTCTATTACTAGTCATGTAAATAAACTGTATATATGTACATTGGACTTTGTTATTATACTTGACATTATTATATAGATACAAGGATACAACAGGGAGAAACATATTGCTGTTTTAAATTGACATCATCGATAATTGAAAGTTAAAAGTTTAAATTAACAAATCAATTTGACACCTTCTATATGAATTTTATTTTGTTTTATATGAAAAAGTAAAAATGACCAAAAAAGTATAAATGTGCATTATCGTATCGCCTAATTAGACATATAGTTATGAAGTCAAGGGTTATCAACCACAAAAACGTTTCTAAAATAAGCCTTAACTAAAGGCTTGTAGCTGTAAATGTCGCGTACATAAAGTTCATTCCTTTAAATTCGCTTTGTCCTCTTCATCCCAGTTGTTTGCACCGTTTATGTTTGGTGCTCGGGTGTTCTTGCAACTGGATATTCTGTGGACTTTGTGAACCTAGTTCCCGCATGGTGCGCTTGGCACTCGTATTTTGAAATGAATTACTTTGAGTGATGAACATTTGCTTTTTTTATATATTAAAATTGATATTGAATTGAACACTTTTTGAACAGTATATTATTTCTAAAGCAAGAATTAAAATTGAGTTAGACACTGCAATCTGTATTTGAATTTTGCTACATAAACTAAAGATAATTTTTAGTGAATAGATTTGATGAAGAGATTAGTGTTAAATAATTTTATGACCTCATTAAGTATTAAAATGAATCAACACAGATGTTTTACTTTTCTTTACAATTAAAGGTATTTTTTTTCAAATAGAATAGAGCGGGATTTCTGTATATACAAAGAAAATCTATTTACTGTACAGAAACTGGCTTTTCAGTATTACTTTTCCCGAAAAGCTAAAGTACAATAACATAGCGAGGAGATATACCGTAAATTCGCAATAGGTTTAGCAAATAATTTAATGTCGGCCAATTGTATACCGTAAATTCACAATAGGTTTAGTAAATAATTTTATGTCGGCGAATTGACTGACTTCTAAGATGCATATAGTTTTAGTTGTATATGTAATTAAAATATGATAAACAAGATCAACAAGGAAAGGCGGCGTTCAACGAACGATAAGTATAAAACCATAATTTATAATTATTAAAAATGGGCATAATTATAATTCACAAGTTAATCTCTTCTGAGCTAAAATTAAATCAGTTAAACACATATAGTAAAATCATTCAACAAACGAGTTTTGTTTATTATATCAGTGTCATGTTCTTTTTTCATGTACGCTTGTAAAACTCTTTTTCGAACAAAATAATTTTAATAAAAAAATGCTCTGCATTTTAACTTTATATTTCATTGCTACGTTGTACAGTACAATAATTCAATTGAGGCTAAGAGAACAAAAGATACTGTGTCTGCACTTTGGTTGTAATATCTCCGTAGAATATATGATTTTATGGGGTTTAAATAAAATTTGTTGTCTGTTATAGTTTGATGTTTTGCTCATTGAACACTCTCCGTACAGTGCTAATAAATTACTGTCCAAAGATTTATAATTGATAGTATTTGAAATTCAGTTTTTATATGTGTTATATTAAGAGAACAACAAATATATAGTTACAGTTGTTGAAATATCTTATTTTAGTTACGATGTAGAACAAGTGAAATATAGATCACCCATTTACTCACGATTCGCTGAAGCACTTCCAACCATTATGCACACAAAGAACAAAACAAAGCATACTTTTGCAAAATTTTTGGAAGCTGAAACTTGTAAAATTAAAATACAGTGAAAATGTTTGCGCCAAAAGATTAATTGTTTTGTATCAACACTAAACAATATAATTATTTATTTCATGCTTTCCAGTGTTTTATTGTAATATATCAGATGATTATATTCTGATAAACCACTAGTGAAATTTATAAAATATAATTTTCACTGTAGCCGGACTATATCTGAATGCGGATGAAAAGAAAATTAAACTAAATGGAACAACAGGCAGAAATAAATGCCGTCATACGTAAATTTTGCTTCTTTAGGAAAAAAAAGTCGATGTCATCATACATCATGTTAGAAATGTAAGAAAATTAGAGAAATCTAACAAAACTATATTTCAAAATTGATGATGTGACGTCATGATGTCATGACGTCAGAAAGAAGAATGCGCGACGTTACGCGGCAAAATCAGTAAAAATACTTATAATCACTTAAAAAGCATGAAATAAAAAGAAAATTTATTTGTTTTACATATAAGATTGAAATATATTTCATTCGTGAACACCAGCTATTATATTTTCACTCGTGGCTACGCCACTCGTGAAAATATTGGATCTGGTGTTCACTCAGTGAAATTATATTGCAATCTTACATGCAAAACAAACAAATATCCTCTATATATATTCGTAAAAAATACTTAGCTATGATGACAATCAAATGATAATGTTGCCATGAATAAGAATACAAGTATTGAATTTTAGTATCAATGTACCGGTACCGGACTAGGTAAAAATCATGCAAAATATAATCTTATCAAGGTCACGCTGATCCCATATATCAAATTTAGAAATGCTGTATGACTTCCGTCCTTGTTTCCTAGATACTGCATTCCAGTTGTGATGATTGTAATTTATTATATAATAATGTATGTGAACGTTTGAATTAAAATTAAAACCCATGTGTGCCATAAATATGAATTAATTAACGTACTGTTAAACTTTTTTCAACTGCGTAATATTTTGCTATGTAATCATACTGTTATCATATTATTTCAGGGGAGTTTGTGAAATTGCGCATAATAAAGTGTCCATATTAGTTAGTCATATTTATACTATAAATGTAATATGGTTTGTTACCATGCAAGCCTAAGAATTTACATTCATTTCCAGCAAAATGCAGGAAAGAAAAACACTTCAGACAATGGGAACAGCTTGCTTATGTTACGAAAATCATTAAGATATCATAAATGTTAGATATATTTAAAAGAGCATTAAAATATAGATTTCTAAATTCATGATGAAAGACAGCAGTGAACACAGGAAAATATAATCTCTGTATAATACTGCATACTGTTTATATGCTTCTGTACTAACACTAATAATTTTGTTTCAAATTCATTATCATTGAGAGATTGTTTACATACATTTAACATTGAACTCCTGGGAATTTATCTAATATATCACCTGCCATTTCCTTAGCTTGTTATTGTGATAATACTTTCAGTTGCCCTGTAGGTTGTTTACATGGATTAAAACCACAGGTCACCTTTATCAGTAATTTCCATGAATTCAAGTACAAAACAGGACCTAACTTGACAAACACATTGAAGACGTCAACAAAATTGCCTTATCTGAGAGTTCACATGGTGTTCTATCTCAGTTCTATCCTATATTTTGCAAATGTAGGTAAGTTCTAAAATAAACCCGAGAGATGTCAGTACAGTTCAATTTAATAAATGAATGTTGTTGCTTAGTGGTAAAAGTGTGCAAGTGATCCTTTAATGAGACGATGTCCAGAGCACAATATTTGGTTGCTACCCCAAGGTCAAGGTCACACTTAAAGGTCAAGTTTTAAAAGGTCTACATTTCATGTTCGCTTAATAACTTTTAAACCGCAGAAACTTTTTTTTGACTAGAAAAGTGTTCATCAAAGCGCAATAATTGTGTTGCTACCCCCAAGGTCAAGGTCACACTAACAGGTCAAATGTTAGAAAGTCTACATTTCGTGTCTGTCCATAACATTTAAACTGCTGCAATGTTTTTAAGAAAACTTGGAGGAAATGATCACCGTTAGGGAACCAATGGTCTATTTTTCATGTCCGCTCTAAAGCTTATTGACAATTTAACGGTTTTCAAATTACTTGGCACATTTGATCCCCACTATGACACAATCTGCAGAGCTCAACATCCAGGTTGCCACCCCAAGGTCAATGTTATCTGTTCTCCATAACATTTTGACTTTATGGAAGATTTTAAATAACTTGGCACAAATAAACACCATCATGAGACTATGTGCTTATGATATGCATGACACAACATCAAGGCCGTGGTTGGTAAAAGATCAAGAAGTACATATTTATGTTCACTGCGGAAGGGATTGTTATTTTTGGGACTACAGACAGACAAACGAAAAAAAGGGGCGAGGCGGCGACTACATGGTCATCCGTCGGGAAGCATAAAAAGAGTATGTATAAAAACAAAAATATAATTCTGTATTATTTTCTCTCTTTATTTCAGAATATTTGTACAATATAATTATGCAAAGAACCAAGAAATTTGCAAAATATTCTAACTAAATAAAATGGAAAATATACGATTTAAAATCAAATCTACAAATAAACACTTGCCTAGTTTTCTCATGAAATAACGGCAAAGAAATACGAAAATCTAAAATAATGTTGAGTCAAACAAAAATTCCCTTTAATGCGAATCCCTATAATCCTAAAAGTTCTTACAGTAATTATTATAATTTATGCCCATAATTTTACCCATTATGGAGCCAATACAGACTGACAGATGGGTGCTATTTGACATGCCGTCTGCTCAACACAGAATGGACTATTCAAAATCCACAGCAATGTAAGTCAATTACACAAAGTCACCTAGGTATGGTTTATAAACAGTAAAATAATAAATATAAATAAAGACTTAATGAAAATCAACTTTTCAACTTTTTTAAACAGTACAATATGTTTATATGTATGTTCCTTTACATTACCATTCACAATCTAGCCTGCTAGTCATAATCAGAATTGATTGCTACGCAGTATCATGTAGATCTTATTCAAATCAACGTAATACCCTTGAACAATTAACAATAATTAACATTTTATTTACTATACTAGTATTAGAAAATATTGATAATTGCTACACAGTATCTTTGTAAAAATAATATAAACATGTTTTGACTTCTCACAATATAGACAGGTTATGTTTAAATTCCTACACACTATATGTGGCCACAATATGAGTTTTGTTGTTGTTGTTGTTGTTTTAAAGAAAATACAATCTTTACTTGATCTGTAATAGGAAACGAAGCTTCCCATACATAGTTCATTCATTCTTTTATTCAAAAGACATAAATTAGTATGAATTTCAAAGATTTTAATAAATTTTTGTGGTTTAAAATATTTTACTCAAGGATGAGCATAGTATATTTTAAACTCTCTCTCTCCCTCACTCTTAAATTGGTGTGTGTTAAATTAGTACAAAATATATTTTGAAACTGATACATTAAGTTTCCTTAAAAAAAAAAAAACACCAAATATAGAATATAGGTACAAACATGAATATTCATTTTTTTTGTCGTCATAATTTATCAAGTTTTAATCATTTAATGGTTTTAAAGGAAGAACTGTTTAAATTTACAGGTATATTTAAGCTTATTCCTCATTGTCAGCCATCTTTAATTTACTAAGTAGCCTACTTTCGATTTGGAACACATAGTGGAAATCAAACATGGCTGACAATGCGAATCATCTTAATAACAAATAAAATTGAACTTAAATGTTACATGTTTTATATAACAAATCAAAATTGTATTTAAGTTTCAAAACAGAAAACTATTCATGGCAAATGATAAATTATGTATAACAAAAACCATTATTAAGGACTTCCAACTCAAATAAAAGAATATGTACATGATAACATATGCAAACAAACACATTTTTTGTGTTAAAAAAACAACAATTTATTTTATATTTCCCAGGAAATATAATACTAATTAATATTACTACATTAGCAGAAATATTGTCTAAACCAGTAATAATGATTTATTATACTTTTGTAAATAAATCAACAAACAATCGTACATATTTAATTCTAGAACACTGACAGATAATATACAAATATTTTAGCAAATACATGTAAAATGCTTAAATTTCTTACATCTAACAATATTTTCTATTTAAGTTTCTCATAAGTTGAACAACAATTAAACTTATACTTTCACCCATTGGCTTTACTAAATTGGTAACTTATTTCAAATACATTTTCAAATACACATTTTTGTTTAAAATTATAATGTGTCAAAACCATTTAATTAAACATGATCTGAAGAGCATGCATGTAAATAAATGTACTTTCCTTTGAACATGCATTTATTTGTTTAGCTTATCATAATTCCCCTCATCTTACAAGTTACCAACAAATTACAGATATAAATCGTATCATTTAACATATACATTTAGCACACATGATGTAATCCATCGTCTGTTACAACCACTATGTGAAAGATGAAGTTATATCTGAGATCTGTGAGATTCCCAATGTAATATTGTTGTAGGATACATTGCTCTCTCCCAGCCTGACCATCCTCCAGGTTATTTCTATGGTTTTGATGTCTGTAAAAAGTAAAAGAAATATAAAGATAAACATTTTGGCTTGTTGAGCTCCCATCAGAACACTGTTAGCTTTACAGACAGAGAAAGGTTGCAGGTGCCCCTGCCAATATAATGTTAGACAAAGAACAACAAGTTTGCTACTTGGTTACCTTAATAGCTACCATACTTCAAAAATAGTGACAATACATCTTTCCAATGTGATAACTTGGGTTTTAAGCAACACTGGTGTGGCCAAATAGTTTTTGGCAACTACATTTACCACTACAATCAACAAAGACCTCTTAAGTAAGCAGGAGACCCCTTAAGTAAGCATGAAAATTAAGAATGGTATACTCATCATTTATTCATTCTACTAAGGCTTAATTAACCCTTAAATGCCAGTAACAATAAAGACTTGATAGAGCTACATCTACTTCTTAGCATGACCATATTCTAGACAGTTGATTTCCTATTACATTTTACTATTTTAATTATAAAAAAACCCTCACTTTCACAGTTCAAACTTTCAAACAGGAAACTTCCATTACATAAAAAGAAGGGTACAGCTTAAAACAAGAAGCTGTGTTTTAACTTTCTTTATAAAAAGAAACTGTAATTATCTAGAATTTGAAACAACAATTCAATATCTTGATACTGGTGGCATGCTTATAATGATCACATACTGATATAGTTATATCTCTACATTTAATCATAAACTATTAAGCAAAACAACATGGACTTCCAGGAAAGACAAGAATTTGTAACAGAGTTACCAACGTCCGCCGCCTCGAAAGTTTTATATGAAGCATAAAATTGTGCTTATTCAAAAGATTGAGGTATAAGTCTCAAGACTTTCAGTCATAAATTATGATCAATGCTAGATCTGCAAATGCAACAATAAATTTATTAAAGAAATAAAATGAAACACAGAATTTAAAAATCTATCATGTTAAGCTTTGACCTCTAACTCGTTAAGCTTTGACCTCTAAGTGTGACCTTGACCTTGAAAGTAGGGGTGCAGGTGTTGTGTATGACATATCGTCTTATGATGGTAACTATTTGTGCCAAGCATTTTCAGAATCCCTTAAACTATGAAGAAGTTAAGATCCGACACAAAATGTTCCCTATAACAGACTATGTCAATTTTTGACCTCTAAGTGTGACCTTGACCTTGGAGGTAGGAATGCAGGTGTTGCTCATGACACATTGCCTTGTTATAGTGACTATTTGTACAAAGTATTTTCAAAATCCTTTGATCTTTGAAAAAGTTATGGACCGGACACAAAATATACCCTGTAACAGACTATGTTTATCTTTGACCTACAAGTGTGACCTTGACCTTGGAGGTAGGTGACCGGTTATTAGGCATGACACATTGTCTCATTATTGCAAGTAAAATCCCTTCAAAGATAAGAAAGTTATGGACCGGACATGAAAAATACCCTCAAATAGTCAATGTTGACCTTGACTGAGCAAGTGCAACCTTGACCCTAGAGGTAGGGGTCTGGTTGTTGTGCGTGACACATCATCTCATTATAACAAATATTTGTGCAAAGTTACTTCAAAATTCCTTTGATAAATGACAAAGTTATGAACCAGACACAAAGTGTGATGGATGGACAGATGGATGGACGGACAGAGCCTATTTCTTGATCCCCTTTTTTCTTCGAAAAGGCTGGGGACAATAAACCATAAAATACTGACAATACTATAAAATAGAAGTAAAAGAAAACAGCAAGAAAACAGTATAAGAATAAATCCAACATTACAAAATCAACCATGCACTCCCATTCCCACAGAGATATACTTCTCTGATCTGCTTACAGTTTTATTGCACAGTCTGATCTTCTATATATTAAATTTTGATGCCTTTTATCTCTGCAAGCAATATATGAAAACCATATGCCCATACATGAAGAATACTTGACACTTTCAATAACTTGAATCAAATCTCTGAAGGATATCCTATTCCAGCAATTAGACAAAAGCTATTGATTTCAAAATAAAGGAGATACAAACATGGTAATGTATTGATTCAATTATTGTAACATTAAACATTGTTAGGTAGGTACATTTAGAGTTCATCTAATTATTTCAATTTTAGATATTTCAATGTCAATCAAAAATCTATATCATGAACTTGCAATAAATGTTTGATTTTAAGGCCAGCTAAAACTGTTTACTCCATTATCAGCATTATCCAAATAATATTTTTTTTTTTTTTTTGTATACATTGCTTGCAATGTATACAGAGTTATAGCTGTATTTCAGATTTAGTATACCTAACCTGTTTTGCTGAACAACATCCACTTTTGGATGAAACCTCCATAAAAGTAGATCCTCATTTTGCAGGATTGTCACATTAAGATCACATTTTATTAATATACTGTTTGCATAGTGGTCAATAAGCTTTGAAAGTTCAAAACTATGCACTTTCAGTTTAAATAAACATTTTCTAAACATGAAAGCAAAAAATATGAAAATTTCTATTTCATTCGTAAAAGCATTGTGTAAACCTACGCTTCAAACTTCGTATCCACGCATGCGCGTGCAAGAATGAATGAATTACGACAGACTCTGTATAAAAATATGTCCAACATCCAAAATTAATATTAAATCAAACAAGTAAACCTTATTTACTTTTAAATATAGACTTGCATACTTTTTCTATTTCAAACTGTTTTAGAAAACGAGCATATACAGATATATATGTCTTATTTAGTGTTATGTAACATTGTAATAAGCGTCTGTATGAATGGATTAAAGTTTACGTTCTGAAAACGTATTGTCATATAATTGCATATAATAGAACCCTATCAACGTGGTGGCATCGGAAGAGTATGCAATTATTTGTTTCACACTTGCAGTGTGAAGTATTTCTGCCACTTTAGTGAAATATATCGTCCAAAAGCCATTTTCGGAAGGGGAAGATTCGTACTCAATATTATTCGAACTAAGGATTTGTACTCAATATTATTCGAATTTAGCCTTCGTAATCGGTATTATTCGAACTGACAATCATTGCAGATACGTTTAGACCCCCTGGACATTTAGATGTTGAAAATGGTAACATATCATAACTTTATCAAATGGAAGCGCCAATGGAAAATTACTTTACCAGTGTTGACTGCCAGTAGAAATGCTGAGAAAGATGAAAAGATACAAGTAAATATCCCATTACACTGTGCTGGACCTAAAGTTATCAATTTACATGGGCAAATGCAGAACATAAACTGAAAGTGAAAAAAATATTTGACAAAATAGAAAGCTATTGCAATCCTAGAAAAAATGAAGTGCTAGAATCACACAGATTTTGGGTAACAAATCCAGATGAATATTCATCATTTGACAGTTTTCTTACAGAGTTTTGAAAGCATGTTGAGTCCAGAAATATATTTTGAAATATGTTATTAACAATCAAATCACTCAGTCAGGCTGAGCCACCCTTAACATTTTTTCCATAACTCCTTAGACTATTGATATTTAAAGGTAAAATTATTAGCCATATATGAGCTTATGATTGCATGGGCAGTTAAATTAAAGCCATTAGTAAAAAAAGGGTTGACCTGGGATAACCAAAGTGAAGAGTGAAATATGACACTCAACACAGGTACATTCTAAATATCTAGATTGATGTTTATGATCAGATTTAGCACAAATAGTAATTTAATTTCCACTGATACCACAAATATGAATTTATTTAGAGTCCTGAAGATCTTTTTATTATGATGAAATCTTAACTGTAAAACCAGGTTTAACTGAATAATTATAAAATTCCTTGCCACAATAACTAGAAGGTACATAAAGCCAGTCAAAAAAAATTATTTCTATCCATATTCATCATTCCTGGACCTCCATCCATTTGATGAATTTCTCCAACTGGTAAATTTTTCATCTTATTATGTTCTGTTTGTTAATATAAAAGATTTTTTATGTTTATATACAGCTAGAATAGTCTGTATTGGCTAAGACAGACAGATAAGAACAAACTATTTAGTAAACATGAGTTACATCCCTTCAAATGGAGATAAAGATGAAACCCATAAGAAATTGCCATGTCTGACAGACAGCAAAATTATAAAATTCTGCAGGCTCAGTTTAATTAGGCCCATTTAGGAGGTAGTGGTAATAACTGAGGGTCAAAAATGAAATGATATCATTTTCAAGGGATGTTTCTGATATGATTTACTTTAAATAATGGGTCATTTCTTTGACTTCTATGCCCATGTGTAATAGATTATTGACATTGCCAGCTAGATAGCTCAGCTGAGTGAGTCAGTACAGCCCACATACATGTATAATATTCTGATTCAGGTTTGATTCCGGTCAAACTGCACATTTTTCTCACCCTGTGATATTTTCACCCTGTTACTTTTAGGGTCCAATATATGTTTATGATGGTACAATTACTGAATCATAAGTCAGTTCACTTTGTTACTTAAGTGTGCCAATGAAAAAGGAAAAATTTCAATATGCTGTGGATTATGTCAATGCATAGAACTATGAGACTGAAAATATTTAAGCTGTAGAGCTGCTGTATGGTATTCCAAGGTTCTGGTTTTTTTGGTAGTGCTGAGGTATGGTATTCTGAGTGTCTCTGGTTTGAGTTTTAGTCAGGCTGCATTTCATTTTCTCACTCTTTGAAATTGATAAATATTTTCAGCTCATTATTGGCTGGACTGCATATATAAATGATTTATTTGTATTAAATCAATATTGTTAAATATTTAGTTATTGTCTATATATGTGACTTTATTTTTGATAAGGCATTGTAACAGTACTACTTTTTAATTTGACCTTTTTGTATTAGGGGGAGAAGCCCTTAATTAACTCCTTACCAGTAAGTTTTATTGTACACGATGGTGATAGCTTGAAAGAATTTAGCTAAAAAAGATACTACATGAATCATTTTTTTTTCCTATTGGATTGTAAAATATTTATTGATTGTCAAAAAACTATATGGAGTTCTCCTCGGTGACATTAAACAGTCCCAGCTGGCCATACATGCAGGACCTTGCAGACCATGAGACAGGGTGGTCTGTACCAAGACAAATCCGATATCGAGACATGGTGGACAGGACAGACAGTGATGTTCAGATCCCCCACTCAGAAAGGAAGTACACTCAAGGTCCTAGTCTTCAATTACTTCATTTGCTTACTTGGAGTAAAGGTGCCGGAAACAATATTATGCCATGGTATCACAAAAAGCACAGACTGTGATAAAAGTCAAACCAAAAAAGATACTATAAACTGAATTCATAGATTATATAAAAGAAATTTATTAATTCTTTAAGTTTATAGTTAACATAAAAAAAAGAAACTGAGTATTTAATTTTGATATAACTAGCATATTAACACACATAAAGTGCGTAATGCCATATAAATTTCAACTTAGTGCTTAAATACTTTCTGATGCACTCAGTAAGCAAACATGATTTACTAATCTTTGGATTCCCACACTCCTCTCCACCTAGCTCCAATGAGATCCACTTGGTTGACCATAACATGTACCATACCTCATATTGTTTGTTTACAGTTTGGAATGAAAAAATGAAAGTTTATTCTAGATATTATAAAGCTTTTATTAAATTTCACAAGGCTTTCAACACATCAACAATGTAATTGTTATTTTATTTTTTGAAAATGTGTTGGACTGCTGGTCTGATGCATGTAGATGCTGTGTTGGCATATAGCGATTCCCCTCTTTTGTGTGTGTATGCATTAGGGGTGTAACAATACAGCAAAAACCGTATTGCAATATATTGCCATTTTGCTGAAGCGTATTGCAATATATTGCAATACGTATTGTCGTGTATATGTTTTGATGTAAAGATATGGGCCGCTTATGTAAATTATGCGGCCGCTTATTGACTTTTAAGTGTACTAGTTGTCGGATACTTTTATCTTACGTTGGCGCCAACAAAATTTGCCAATTAAAGATTTTATGTGAAATTTGTACAAAATTAGAAGGCAATTAATTGAAAATTATGATTTTTATAAATAACCGGTTTTCCAAAAATCGTACCACGGTTCGAAATTTATTTCTTCATATTGCAATATATCGGTATACCGGTAAACCGTTACACCCTTAGTATGCATGCATGTGTGTGTGTTTTATACATTATATAGTTAACATCTTTTGAAAACATCTTGTCCAATTTCAACCAAACTTGACAGGGTTGTTCCATGAGTAAAGGGCTTCCAAAGTTATTCAAAGACTTAAATGAGGCCTAGAGCATAGATATTTTGCAAAAGGCATTGTCTGGTAGACATTCACAAGATTTTCACATTATACCCTGGGGGTCAAATCAGCCCTGCACTAGGGTTCATAGATTTTCCTGATATGTATGTAGTTAAAACTTAAAATCTTCTCCTCTTAATTGACAAAGACTAGAGGTTAGATATTTGTCATGAAACATTTGGTAGTTAACCTGTACCAAGATTATTCACGTTACAGCCCAAGGGTCAAAACTAGCCTCACCCCTGGGGTCATATATTAAGGTTTTCCTTATATGCACATGGGTGCAAGTTGAAAATTTGGAAAAACCTGAAAACCTTTTTTCATAATCATTTTCCTACAGTATCTAATAGTAAAACATGATGAAATTTGTCACAAAAAACCTGAGCTTCAGGCATATGCCTGAAAACTTGCACCCATGTATGTATATAGCAAAAAAAATTTTAAAAATCTTTTTATCAGAAGGTTTAAGGCTTAGAGCTTAGATACTTGGTAAATAATATCATCAGTGCGTCCTTTACCAAGTTGTTCAAATGTTGCCCCTAGTGAAATAGCACCAGGGTGTCATAGGTTTTCCTTAAATGTATAAACATGTATAGAAAAAAAAACATAAAAAATATTCTCCTCTGGATTGACAAAGGCTAGATGTTTGATATTTGGCATGAAACCTTTACCTGTGTAGTAAACCTCTATCACTATTGTTCAAATTATAGCCCTGGGGTCAAAGTGGCTCTGCCAAGGAGTCTTTTTAGGTTTTCATTATATGGTAATCATGTATAAAGAAAAAAAACTTTAAAAAAAAATCTTGTCTGAAGGTACAAGGTTTACCAGGCACCATGGTGTCTTAGGATTATACATGTATAGAAAAAAAACTTAAACAGTATTCTCCTCTGAATTGACAAAGACTAGAGGTAAGATATTTGGCATGAAACATTGTGTAGTCGACCTTATTAATTTTAGCCCTGGGATAAAATTTGCCTTGTGGGAGGGTTGGGGGGGAATCATTAATTTTCGTAATGTACTTTAAGAATGTACAAGGCTAGAGCTTAGGGCTTTGATGCCTAAATTTTGTCAAGTGCACAAATGCTTTTATTTTGAATCAATAATTGCACTATGGAGTGCATTTTTTCCAGTGAATGCGTTTTGCATGTAAACAAAAATGTTCACCTAACTTTTAAAGATCCTGTATGTTTTGTGATTGATATTGTTAGTGTTTGTATACCACACTTGCAAAACATAATATATATGTATATAATTATGCAAATAAAACAATTTTTTCAAACATCGAAGAATGTGTAAAATGTGTACTGCAAATATTTATGCACATTATATTTAATCAATAAATTATATGCATTCATTTCTTAATGGAAACTTTGGCTAAGAATTTATAGAAAATAATTTCTAATTACCTCCCTTTATTTACATGAAATTTTAAATTCGGTAATATCTTTATAAATAATGCTTATTGGAACTTAAAATATTAACAAATCTTAATTTGAGCATCATATCTTTGAAATAAAACCATGAAAAAATGTGTTACAGGATCTTTAAGTCTTGCTGAATGATTCAATACCACATTTTTGTAGACTACAAACCTGCATGTTGTCTTGTTTTTAAAGTAATAGATAAAAGCACTGAAGACTCTATTTTACTATTTCAACATTGTATACTGCAGATAAAAAACCGGTCTTTGCAAACTGATTTCTTTATTGCTTTCATTTTCGCAAACCATATAGTCTTGCCTGGAAAAACACAGCACTAGTCTGTAGGAACAACACCTCTTTCTTGTCCTATTAATAACTTGAGAAGAAATAAGCCTAGATTTGTGTTCGAAATTGACTGTAACCAGAAGATGACTTCTATTGAGTTCAGTAGATTAAAATCACATGGTCTTGATGTCAAACAATGTATACCTCAGTGCTTGCAGTGCTTTGATTTTAAAAAGGGAACAATTTGTATGTGACACAATAATAGGATAGCATTAAAATATAAGGAGTGTTTCAAAGAGTTTCCAGAACAATTAACTGGAAACACAACACAGAAAAATATACTCTTATGTACTGAAAGAGGACAATAACATTTTTGACACTAGTAGAAATGAACTCTTGGAAATTTATCTATTTTTTTTTATCTGTAATCCTCTTAATTTCTTACAGTGATACTGTAAACCATATATGTGTTTTCAGCCGCTCTCTATATTGTTTATATGGAATTAAGCCACTGGAGATCAAGTTAATCAGTAATTTCAGTAACAGAATCAGTCAGTGAACCAACTTCACAGCATATGACGATTTATCACTTCATGTCAATAACCTGCTTTATTCTTGGTAATGATTGTCTGCCTATAAACTCAGAGATAAAAAATTCAAGCCCTTCATTGACACTATAATGACCAGAAATTTTTTTTTTTTCAAGAGGCTGACTTGTTGTTCAAATATGCTTCAAGCTTTAATTTCTTAGTTAGCTACTAAGTACAAGCCTAAATCACTAAGATAAATTAAAATTTATTTTCATCAAGAAATTAATATAATAATATAGTTATTCTTATTCAAATTCAAAAGTTTATTGTATTATCAGGCCACCAGCCCATACACATATTACATAATAAATTAATACTTACTATAGGTATTGTGTGACTGGTATCAAGCATAGTAATTTGGTGAGACTAACAGATCAGTTAGTATAACAAGTTGGTCATCTGTAAACATGAGCTTATGATCATGCCAGTTATCGTGGTGAGTACGACGGAAGTTTGACAAGGTCTTCTTTACTGTCATCTATAAATAGAAACAAAACTAATCATTATCATGAACATGCATATTTTTAATATGATATGGTTCACTGAAAGTTTAAGATTTCAATACTCAACGTACAAAATCGAGTAACCAATAGTAATGTCCTTATAGTCAGATACACAACTGCATCTTAGTGTGGCTCTATATTTTTGGCTTAATACTTGTACTAAAGATTAACTGTCGATATATATTACAAAGTAAATTAAATCTGGCCCTGAGAATATGCGCAAAAATTGAACAAATCTGTTTTTGAAAATGACTTCATTCTTTTAAATGATCAAAACAAGATGTAGTCACAATGAAAAGGTTAATTTATATTTAAGAAAGATTTGAGGGAAAATATTTCCCTTGGATCATGTAAGGTAATCTACAAATTGTCTAAATCATTTAGTCATGCTAGTGTTATAATATTTGAAATTCACTTTCCAGGAATATTGTATTTTGGTTTGTTTGTTGTTGCTTTTTTTTTTGGTTTTTATTTTTTGTATAAAAAAGTAAAAAGAATCAAATCACATTACAAGAGTAAAAACATAATGATAAGTTTAAGTTGGGTAAGATTTTGGATGTTACCTGTATAGGTTGTGGGTCATTAACATGGTTACTAAGATCCATAAGAATTTGTGGCATAAATTCTGGGACATCATATGGATAGGCCTGTACATAAGCGCTTAAACCCAGAACTCCAGCGTGGCGCTGTAAGAGCTTCTCAACAGGTAAATTCTCTGACTTTATACGTTTACTTATCTTTGTACTGCTCAGTCTCTCAAAATGGTCCTGAAATTAATACATTTCAATCGAACGTCAATATTTAATAACTATAAAAAGACACAACACTCTTCATTAACAGTATGTGTATTGTAATAAATAATTATTATGTCAAGCCTGAGTGGTTAACATGTCAGACTACCCAATGTTTCCTTAAGAAAAAAACTTTACATTCATTCCTTAGTACTGGTTGGTTCCAGAAAGGGAAACGAGTGTTTCAATAAGCTTACAACACAATCAAACTTGTATAAACTAAGCCCTTATCCCCTCCAGCTTACATGGGAGACAGCATACAGAGTTTGCATCACTAATTTGTCCAGATTTTGTGTTTTTATAAACAGTCTTGAACTTTGATATATAAAAAAAACTTTGTAGAAATTATCATCAAATCATGACAATGTGCTGCATGGAATGACCATAATTAAATCTCCCTTTCAAAATATTGTTTCTCATATTTCTTGTCCAATCAGTAACTGCTATATATAGATTTTGGAAATATTTGGCAGATATTATCAAACAAGTCATCTAAGAAGAAACTCAAAGTTTTAGTTCATTCTAGCAGTCAAAAACAAAACATTATTACCAAACATTTACAGTTTTGCTCAAAAACACTATAAATTCAAATCTTATTTTTTGCTATTTTTTTTTACATAAAAATGACAAAAAAGCAAAAAAAATGAATTACCAGTAAATCTTGGTCCATCTCCAGATACCCACACTGTAATAGGCCACTTAGTGTTATACTAGCCATTTCCCGTACCTATAAATATATCATTCACACTTAATGACTTCTTTCATATGTTAATTAAAGTATAGATTGGAAATCAGATCTACATAAAAAATCATTATCTTTTTATCTTAAACAAATCAATTACTAACATAAGCTGATATCAGTCCTTACCTAACCATAAACAGTGAATAGTTGTACAATCTATGTTTGAAATTTCAAGATAAATGAAAAATGATAACAGTTCATTTAATACTGCTTTATTAACTTTACTTCCAAGCCAATGAGAAATCTATATGTGTTAACACATACGTAAAAATAAATTACAATCCTGTATCGTTGAGTTTGTTAGTTTTTTTTTTTTAAATTCTGTCAACATTTGTAAATGGTCTTTAACAGATCATCATTGCCATCTTTAAACAAATCAAAACAAAATAGTATTTTTTTACCTCAAGTTTATCATCACATATTAGATGCATCACAGTTTCTTTGATGTTTTCTTTGTGTTTAGGATCTTGTAAGGTGAAGAAATTACAAAATACCATCACCTGAATGTATCCTAGAATGGCAGACCTTGCATGCCAAGATTGTAAACCTGTCACCTGTAAAAGACAGATACCAATAATTATTATTACAAAATAGCTTTTGTGGGGATAAAAGGCATTTGTTACAATGTAAGGCAGTTTCCTGAAAAGACAACTGATATGAGTTTTTTTCCCCCTAAATGAGCTTCTATAAACCAAAAGATCCCAAGGCCAGAACCAAAACTGACCCTTAAGGTATGATTTATATAGACTTAGATTTAGTTTAAAAAACATTGTGGATAACAATGCACAAGGTAAGACAATGTGCCTTTACAAAAGCTCACCTCTGAGCACTTTGCTATTGGGAACAGGATTTTTATTCAGGTGATGCACAAAATGCGCACTGATCATTTTTTGCTGTTATTGCTGACTAACATTTCTGACCATTGTTTCATTCATTGTTAATAATGAGTAATAACATATACAATGTACATGTGTATTTCTATTTGATAATACAGCATTCTGTAGTGTGTACATGTGTGGGTGTGCCCTTAATTCCTATAGAGTTTACTTTTATACACATATCTTATCATCCTGTACTTTCAAATTAGACCCAAGGTTAACTTTTTCATAACAAATATACATCTATTTTTGTACTGTTTAATCATGCTTAAGTCAAAAATTACACTGATAAAACTGACAATTAATTACACATAATTCAAGATTGACACAGTTTCCAGATTCTAATCTTAAACATTCTTTCTTTTTTATATCACAAAAGCATTGTCAAGGTCATAGGGCTACTTTTCATATATCAGTAAGACAACATCTAGAATGAAAGTCAATTAGTCTAGTATTTTTATCAGATGAGCATATTAAGCACTATATAATTTATCTTCCTTTAACAGGACATACTAGTTTTTAGAATATAGATTAAAGAATATCCACACAAAATCTTGTCATGTGATATTTAATTATGCCTGGTGTCAACAATACAATTGCCACTATTAATTAATTATACATTAATCAGGCTTGAACATTTTTTATACACAAAGTGTTTTTTTCTTTTTCTAAAAAAAATAATTAGGCCATATAATTGATACATGAAAATGCACTGTACTTTAATATCTAAGGCAAATAAGCTTTGTGAGTTAATAAGCCTATCTTATTAAAGTTGCATTCCAAAGTCTAATTTATTTCATAAGCTGAATAACTAAAATTCTAATACAAGTAAATGAATACTTATCCTATTTCAAGGGCATTTTCAATAAAAGTTGTCTTATTTCAAGGGCATTTTCAAAAAAGCTTGTCCTATTTCAAAAACATTTTCAATAAAGATTGTCCTATATCAATGTCATTTTCATTAAAAACTTGTCCTATTTCAAAAGCTGTTTCATGAAAGCTTGCCCTATATCAAAGTCATTTTCATAACAGCTTGTCATGTTTTAAGGGCATTTTCATTAAAGCTTGTCCTATTTAATGGACATTTCATTAAAGCTTGTCCCATTTCAAGATCATTTTCATTAAAGCTTGTCCTATTTCAAGGGCATTTTTATAATTAAAGTGTGTCCTATTTCAAAGGCATATCCATAAAATGGTATCCTATTTCAAGGGCATTTTCATTAAGCTTGCCCTATCTGCAGATCATTTTCATTACAGCTCATTCTTTTTCAAAGGTATATTCATTACAGCTTGTCCTACTTCAAGGAATTTCAATAAAACTTCCCTATTTAAAGGGCATTTTCATTAAAGCTTGTCCTATTTCAAGGACAGTTTCATTAAAGCTTGTCCTATTTCAAGGGCAGTTTCATTAAAAATGTCCCATTTCAAGAGCATTTTCATTAAAGCTTGTCCTATTTCAAGGCCAGTTTCATTAAAGCTTGTCCGAATTCAAGGGCAGTTTCATTAAAGCTTGTCCAATTTCAAGGGCAGTTTCATTAAAGCTTGTCCTATTTCAAGGCCAGTTTCATTAAAGCTTGTCCAATTTCAAAGACATTTTTTCATTAAAATGTCCTATTTCAAGGGCAGTTTCATTTAAGCTTATCCAATTTCAATGACATTTTTTCATTAAAATGTCTTATTTCAAGGGCAGTTTCATTTAAGCTTATCCAATTTCAATGACATTTTTTCATTAAAATGTCCTATTTCAAGGGCAGTTTCATTTAAGCTTATCCTATTTCATTGGCCTTTTTATTAGAGCTTGTCCTATTTACAATACTTACAGTTTTGACAGTATGTAGTATATCAGGTATAACTTCAGGTTGTATCAATGCCTGAGACAGACTTGCTAGAGCCACTGTACAATCTGTGTTCAACTCTTCGTCCTTTGACTCGCTCTCTAATGTACACATCTGAAATAAGGAACATATACACTTTACTCACCAACTTAAAGCTACACATTTGCCAATGAAAATTTGTCAAAACTAGAAATATGTCCATAGGACATGGATGCTCCCACATTTCACTGCTTTGTCAGTCTACAGATAAATACTGTGACAGCAGGACAGATGAACAAGAGCAAATTTATATGCCCCAGCCCCCAAGAAGTGGGGGCCATAAAAGTTTAGCTATTTTTAATCACCTATTTATGATAAACTTGAAAATGTTTTTACTATGAAAAATACTGTCTTAACCCTTAGTTTGCTATTTCTACCGTAAGTGACAAGTGCAGTCCAAGATAAGCTGGCAAATCTGTACTATCTGATCATGGTCTGCTCTGTTTGCTATTCAGCCAGTATATACAATGTACTTTAAAATCTAAAATTCCACTAAAAATAATGAATGGTTTTGTCTGGAATAAAAGATAGATAGGTACATTCAAGTTATTTAGGGAGATAAGGGTCAATCTTAAATTTGCTTGAAACTGGGGGACATGCTCATTTAACTCTAAATTACACAAAAGAATTTTAAAAAACAACATACAAAAAAGGAGCATTAATGTTCTGCTACAAATCCTGTATCTAATTATAAAGACTTGATCAATCATTTACCAGACACTTTGAGTGACAAGAGAGCATTTGTGAACATTTTCTCTTTTGTACCAGTAATGAACTAAAAATCTACTTATTGTCTATCAGTAAACTTAATCTTGTCTGCACTTTTCTGATTTTTTTTTTTAAATTCATTCAAGTATCAATAGATTTATTTCAGTACATGTATTATACAGTAACCTGTTTAAACAAATGTAATAAATGAGCCATGAAATGTGTCATGACAAAACCAACATAGTGCGTTTGCGACCAGCATGGATCCAGACCAGCCTGCACATCCACGCAGTCTGATCAGGATCCATGCTGTTCGCTATCAGTTTCTCTTCTTGTAATAGAGTTGGTAAGCGAGCAGCATGGATCTTGATCAGACTGCGCAGGCTGGTCTGGATCCATGCTTGTCGCAAACACACTATGTTGGTTTTGTTGTGATGTGGCTCAAATAATAATAAAGCGAAAAAAAAACAGTAAAACATGTATGTGAAATGAAACCACATCAATTATATCATACTAAGGATAACACAAAAAAGAGAACTAAATCTCTTATTTCCATAGTGGTCCTTTGGTAAAGATTATATTGAAATATACAGAATTTTCAAAAATGTGTAAACTTCAAAAACATATGTGATTGTACAATTTATGAGAATATACAAGATGAAATGACTTTTTATCTCCTTTGATACAACATAAGTTTAACCCGTAAAACCAACTTTTCGTCAACACTTTAAAATACCATTATCATTTCTCCCCCCATTATTTAGTTGAAAATAAATGTTTTATTGTCAAAGCAAGACCTTCATCTTCTTACCAACTTATTGTTCAGATAAAATGATGTTAATGTTTGAAAGAACTCTTACATCAAACTGTCACTAAGACATTATGTACTATTTAAATCATTGAAATATATGATCAATTATATCATTCAATACTTACAACTGGCAGTAATTTAATGACTTCTGGAGGTGCGGAGTTGAATGTCCTGCTTATACAACTTGTTAAACACTTCATCACTGGAAAAAATGAATTTCTATTTTACTATTATATCTTCAATAATGTCATGCCTGTGTCAGTTGTATGCCAACAGTCAAGGGCCAGGCCAGTGTGCATATCCACAAAGTCTGACCAGATACTATATGGTTGGCTACTTAATTAAATGTAATTACACAACTGATATCAAATCCTCAACATATTTCAAAATGAGTTCTGATTATATATTGTTACAGGGTATAATAGCATTATTTCAGAATAACTTAGTATAGCCTGGTAAGTGTAGTAGAGCCCTGCATTAAGACAAGCCTGTTTGCAATGACCAATATTTTAAAGAACAGATTTTTTATCTTCTTATTTCAATAATTATTGTGTCCAAGAACAGCAACATTACTTTTAGAGACAATCCGTAATTAAGACCACCCCACTATTAAAACCATTTTTTCTTCAGAACCACAAGCAGTCTCATTAGTGGGGCTCTCTTTATTTAAATTGTTTGACTGTTATTAATTGTCATAGAATTTAAAAGTAAAAAAATAAAACTTAATTTACAAGTCATTAATATTCTGCAAGATGTTTTGTTTCTAGGACATCGTTTCTTTTATTTCTTGTTTGTTAGATTTTAAATCACACCAGCATTGTAAAGGTCACATGGGGACTTAAAAGCTTTGCTGTTGGAACAAAATCTTAGATGTCCATTCATGAATATTTTCAGGAGCAAGCAAGAATCCAAGTAGAATCACTGGAGTTCTGTAATCCAATTAGATAGCTTCCTAACACAGAAGAACCCAGAGTCTGTGCAGAGAAGGATGTAAGTTAAGAACCAGTTAAGAAAAAAAAACATCATAAAAAAAAAAAAAACAATCACAAAAACAAAATAAAAGTTATAAGGATTAGAAGAATTATAAATACCTGTTTTACAAAGCCTTATTAGTTCTTTCCTCTCTTCACTTTCCTCACTTTGATTGTCTATGTCCATCTTCTCTACACTGGTCTCTAGTTGTTTATCTGTAGTCGTACTAGCTTCTACAGACCCTTAAAATATTATATGAGCAGCGACATGACAAAACCAACGTATTGCGTTTGCGACCAGCATGGATCCAGACCAGCCTGCGCATCCGCGCAGTCTGATCAGGATCCATGCTGTTCGCTTACAAACCCTATAACAAGTAGAGAAACTGATAGCGAACAGCATGGATCCTGATCAGACTGCGCGGATGCGCAGGCTGGTCTGGATCCATGCTGGTCGCAAACCCATTATGTTGGTTTCGTCATGATGCGGCTCATATGGTATTTAAATTGTAATCACATGTATCAATATTACTTTTTTAATAAGCCTGTCAAATTTTCAAGATATACATATACTATGCTCATCTTTGGGTTTGTAGAAATATGTTGAAATTTAAGAAATTCTTACTAAATGCACAAAATAAGTTTGAAAAACTGCATTCCCTAATAAATGTCAATTTGGTCTCTTTAATGATGCTCTATATTTATACTCTGTTACCCATAGTAAGTAGAATATTAAACATAGCATATATTTCTCTGTGTGTTCTAAAAATATATTTACATTTTAAGAGGAACTGTATAGTAATTATCAGTATTTTGAAATATCATTTTGAGCATAATATATCTTTATCATAAAAGAGTTAAAGAAATGGAAAATTATTTATATGCATCTACATGAAATTATTTTGTTGAAAAATGGGAAATCTGTAAAAGCAATGTTAAGACTAGCTCTCATTGGAATGATCAAAGTAGTCATTATCTGCTGTTTGCCTGGACCTTGAAGAAATCAATACCAAAAACTAGAAATGTGTCCATAGGACACGGATGCCCCCACACGCCACTGTTCTGTCAATCTTATGAGTCTAGGTCAAATATTTTTTGGACTACATGTGCCACAAGTTGAAAACTAACAAGAGGGCCATGATGGCCCTGAGGTCGCTCACCTGTATATAAGCATTTTTTTGAACATACTTGGTAGACATCCATTAGAACATGTTTCATGCTAAATATCTTAGCTCTAGTTCTTTAAAAGAAGATTTTTTTAAGTTTTTACTATATGCATATAGGGAAAATCAATGACCCCCTGGGGCGTGGCCAATTTTGACCCCAGGGCTTTTTTTTGAACAAACTTGGTAGACACCCATTAGAAGATGTTTCATGCTAAATATCTTAGCTCTAGCTCTTTGGGTTCTTTAAAAGAAGATTTTTTAAGTTTTTACTATATGCATATTGGGCAAATCTATGACCCCCTGGGGCGGGGTCAATTTTGACCCCAGGGCTTTTATTTGAACAAACTTGGTAGACATTCACTAGAAGATGTTTCATGCCAAATATCTAAGCTCTAGCTCTTATGGTTCTTTAAAAGAAGATTTTTTAAGTTTTTACTATATGCATATAGGGAAAATCAATGACCCCCGGGGCAGGGCCAATTTTGACCCCAGGGCTTTAATTTGAACAAACTTGGTAGACACTCACTAGAAGATGTTTCATGCTTAATATCTTAGCTCTAGCTCTTTGGGTTCTTTAAAAGAAGATTTTTTAAGTTTTTACTATATGCATATAGGGAAAATCAATGACCCCCTGGGGCGGGGCCAATTTTGACCCCAGGGCTTTTATTTGAACAAACTTGGTAGACATTCACTAGAAGATGTTTCATGCTAAATATCTAAGCTCTAGCTCTTACGGTTCTTTAAAAGAAGATTTTTTAAGTTTTTACTATATGCATATAGGGAAAATCAATGACCCCCAGGGGCGGGGCCAATTTTGACCCCAGGGCTTTTATTTGAACAAACTACTTGGTAGACACTCACTAGAAGATGTTTCATGCCAAATATCTAAGCTCTAGCTCTTATGGTTTTTTAAAAGAAGATATTTAAAGTTTTTTCTTTTGGTTGCCATGGCAACCAGAGTTCTGCATGGAATTAAATTCTTTGAACAATTTTTAAAGGTGACCACCAAAGGAACATTCCTGTGAAGTTTGGATGAAATTGGCTCAGTGGTTTATGAGGAGATGTCATTTAAAGCAAAAGTTTACTGACGGACGGACGACGGACGGACGCCGGACGAAAAGCGATCACAAAAGCTCACCCTGTCACAAAGTGACAGGTGAGCTAAAAATCAACAAAGGGCCATGATTCTGTTAAATTTGGTCGCAGCAAAAATTCCTTTCTGTACTACCATCTACACATTAAGGTTGTTAATCCCTGAAAGTTTAAGCAAAATCTGCCATCCAGTTTAAGAGGAGTTGCGTTCACAAAATTTCTACATAGTATATAATGAAAAAATCAACAAAGGGCCATAATTCTGTTAAATTTGGTTGCAGCAAAAATTCCTTCCTTTACTGCCATCTACACTTTAAGGTTTTTCATCCCTGGAAGTTTAAGCAAAATCTGCCATCCGGTTTAAGAGGAGTTGCATTCACAAAATTTCTACATAGTATATAGTGAAAAAATCAACAAAGGGACATAATTCTGTAAAATTTGGTCGCAACGAAAATTCATTCCTTTACTGCCATCTACACATTAAGGTTGTTCATCCCTGTAAGTTTAAGCAAAATCTGCCACCCGGTTTAAGAGGAGTTGCGTTCACAAAATTTCTACATAGTATATAGTGAAAAACTCAACAAAGGGCCATAATTCTTTTAAATTTGGTCGCAGCAAAAATTCCTTCCTTTACTACCATCTACACATTAAGGTTGTTCATCCCTGGAAGTTTAAGCAAAATCTGCCATCCGGTTTAAGAGCAGTTGCATTCACAAAATTTCTACATAGTATATAGTGAAAAAATCAACAAAGGGCCATAATTCTTTTTTCTTTTTTTTTTAAATTTGGTTGCAGCAAAAATTCCTTCCTTTACTACCATCTACACATTAAGGTTGTTCATCCCTGTAAGTTTAAGCAAAATCTGCCATCCTGTTTAAGAGGAGTTGCGTTCACAAAATTTCTACATAGTATCTAGTCAAAAAATCAACAAAGGGCCATAATTCTGTTAAATTTGGTCGCAGCGAAAATTCCTTCCTTTACTACCATCTACACATTAAGGTTGTTCATTATTATTATTATTATTATATACCACATTTCTATAGCACTCTTTTCATAAATAATAAATGTTCAAGAGTGCTTTACATAAATCCGATAAAACATAATCATATATATATATAAGACATAATGTACAACATTAATTAAATAAACCTATTAAACAATAATGATAATCTAAAACCAGTAAAGGATGGTAAGAAATACAGACACATTCTGTTTAAAATCAAGGCTCAATTAAAATTAACACTGATAATATAGCAAAAGTAGTACATGTATGATGATTTATGAACTAACGTCCATAGAACTTTATGAAATAATGTGTTTTGAGAGCTCTCTTAAAACATGGCAAGGTATTACATCCCTGTAAGTTTAAGCAAAATCTGCCATCCGGTTTAAGAGGAGTTGTGTTCACAAGATTTCGGGACGGACAGACGGACTGACTGACTGACAGATTGACGGACGGACGGACAAGTGCAACGCTATATGCTTCCACATTGTGGGGGCATAATAAATTAAACTCAGCAGACTGATGTATAGAGTCTTGTCTCACAGTGCAAATTAACAGGCAAATGCTGAAAATCATTATTTATGTTGCTGCTAGCATAAATAGGGTAATCATGAATAGTGTACTGTGGTAATCAAGGTTTTACTGAGTGCAGAAAGTTACAGGGAGTTAGCAATAACTTTGTACACAATATTGGATACACTGACATAGGCAATGTTCTTTATTAAAATCAATAGACAATAATGAAATATAGCCTATATCAAGGATTATGATAAATAAGTCTGAGCCAAAAGACACAAGTTTGTTTATTTCTAGTGAATACCTTAAAACACTTGTAACGACTAACCCTTGTATGCAAAACTTACACAATGATTATTTAAGTTCATAAATGGCATAAATACAGTCAAAAATTTATTTATTTAATTATTTATTTTGTTTTGGGCCTTGGAAAGTAACCAACAATTATGATCTCAAAGACATGCATGAAGTTTAAAGTGAATTACAAACGGCTGGTGAAATATTAAGAGTTGCTCATGAAGTTATTTCTTCAAAAATTACATCTAGTGTAAATTCAAAATACAGGCGAGTAAGATAGCCCTAGTTCTCTCCGATTAATCAAGCTAAAAATGTGTGTCATTAACACACTGTCAGCAATAAACTGCCCATTTCAAGTCAATTGCAAGAAGAAGTATTTTTTAACAGAAAAATAAAAAAATATTTCTCAACTTTCATTATAACACAACTGTATATAGCTGAATGACATATACTAGTTACATGGAATATCAGAAAACCTGAAAACCTTTAATTTACATTATTTCAGTTGGTTTTATATTGAAAAAGAGTAAAAAAAACCTGAACTTCAGGCAAATGCCTGAAAAATTGTACCCATGTACCTTTAATTTACATTATTTCAGTTGGTTTTATATTGAAAAAGAGTAAGAAAAACATGAACTTCAGGCAAATGCCTGAAAAATTGTACCCATGTACTTATATTTTGTGTAAAAGATTGAAAAACAAATGGATAGATAACATACCTCCATTTTGATTTTGAGCTTCCTCAATGATAAGGTCTTTAAGTTTATGTAACTGTGGTAAAACATGATCTATAAATTCCTTCCTTGCTGGTGATGTAGTCATTGACCATGGAAACATCTTATAGTCTAGTATGAACACATCTGATAGTAAACTGAAATAAAAAGACAAAAACAATCAAGTTGCTTCTTCTAAAAAACATTGTGATTTTGATTCAGTTTTTTAAATGCATACTTGACACATGTACAGTATAATTTAAGAAAAATATACATTTATTTTTTGTTACAAATTTTGAAGAAAAAAAATGTATTTTCTTTTATGTAAATGACTTTATATTTCATTCACAAATTTTCAAATGTACAAATTTCTATCATATTTTTTATCAACATCCAGTTTCAATGTACTCTAGTCTGTCATGAAACTGCTGAAGAAATAGCTAGTATAAATTTTGCTATTGATAAAGGTTAACCTTACTTTGACTACTGTAAACTTATTTTTTTTTTTGTATCATTGCTATCAAAAGAAAATAACATAAAAAAAACTTTTAAATAATGTTGAAATACAGATGGGAGGCGAGTTTTGCAAGGACAGGTATTAAGTACATTACTTCAAAAATTAAAATGCATTATCTCCACACCGATATAGTAACAAACTGAGACTTAAACATACCTGCCCAACCTATCCCTCACATTTTTGTATGTATATGAGAAATGGGGAGATAAGTAAGTGTATAATCTACGATGAAGGTCACCAACTCGCCACTCTTGTTGTAACAAGGCATTCTGTATCATCAGAAGACGTCTGAAAATATAGCTTAACTATAATAACAGGTGGCTGTTTGAACTCACGTAAAACAGTTCATATTTCTCTCAAGACATCAAACATAGAGTATAAATTATAGGCAACATGCTTAAGATATCATGGCTATACCTACAATTAAATTTTATTTCCATTTCAAGTAGGATGTAGCCATCATATACATTTATATGCATTCAGATCATTTTCAAATCTACAGCAACTTTAACTTTAGTATCGTAAAATGAAGTGTAAAAAATCAAGCCATATTTAAACTTAATACTTATATTTGAATACCTCCATACACTAATTTATCATAGATAGATGTCTTGTTATTTACACAATAGACGTAATACAGAAAGACCCAAACTTTAAACTTTTAGAAAAATGTCATTTATGACTCTTTCTACATTTGCATGAAACTGTCAAGTACTATTACACCTGTGAAAGAAACTAATTATTTACGAGAAGACATCAAATTCATCTCTCAAAGTTAAATCCTAATTTGTTAGGGACAAATTCTTCAGAGTTAGATATTTTTACATCTTGGTGAACAATATAAATAACAAACAGACTAAGTAGAATGATAAAACATATCATCAAGCCGCGCCATAATAAAACCAACATAATGTTTGCGACCACATGGATCCAGACCAGCCTGCGCATCTGCACAGTCTGATCACGATCCATGCTGTTCGCTTACAAACCCTATTACAAGTAGAAAAACTGATAGCCAACAGCATGGATCCTGATCAGACTGCGCGGATGCGCAGGCTGGTCTGGATCCATGCTGGTCGCAAACGCATTATGTTGATTTTGTCATGGCCCGGCTCATATAAAGAATATAGCAGCTTACCCAGCATCTCCAAATGATCCGCCTTCACCATTTAATGGATTATCCATCAACATTTCATACAACCAGTATATCTTCCTAGGATCTCTACTCTCCTGTATATAACATATATACACATTAAAACCATATTAAAACTACTTATTTCAGAATTTAACCTCTCTTTCTCAAACTTAAATATTCACACATCTTCATTCTCCAAACAGTAAAAAAAATATGTCATTTATGCATTTTTGAATGATGCAAGTCCTATCCCTTATTTACCCAGAAGTGAGAGTTCAAATCCAAGGCAAAGTATGTGTTATTTTATGATCCTTACACTGAAGGCCATACATAAAACACAAATCATCCTAAAGTGTTGATTAAAATATCTTCAAGCATAGAAATTTGGCCGACATGTTTTGATAATAAAGCTAGAACTTGTACAAATTTCAGGAAAAATATTTTTAACAACACTAGTCAGTATTGGACAAACCGTATCTTGTGAATACGTAAAAAAATCTTTTGAACTATGACTTCTACAAAATTGTAATTCTTATATAAATTAAATGTACCCATTCAACACTTTGACAACTACTTACAGAGACATTAGTAAAGAATGTTGACCAATCAGAAACTGTTGACACAGTAAGATTATTCACTGCAGTTCTCATCAAAGGTATAGCCCAATCCCATAATGCTTTAGTCTGAAATAAAACATTTAACTTCAAACCTTTGATTGATAGAGAGGGTATGTTAAGAGTTGGATGGATGTGCCTGCTGATCTTGGTTTACACTTAGGGCGGGACTAAAAAAGTGTTTGAGCACCACACTAAATGTGGTATTTCGGTATATATTGGACAATGTGCTTGAATGATAAAATGCTAAAATATCGCCTTTTTCACCCATCAAAATGTACTTTTAAAGACACCAAATTAATCTGATCACACATATTTATAAATGAAAATTAATGAAAAATGTAAAAAGCAGTGTAAAAAGAGATATTTTTCTATTTTGTGATCATGATTTCTGCAAGTGTCTGGAGGTACTGTTCCAACACTGTAGTGAGTTAAATCCTAGCACTGGTGCCATCGGTAAAATTTGTTGCAATCAGCAGGCTAATGTTTAACTATAAATGGGCAGGTCTGCACTAGTCACATAGGTAGTATCTGTATAATTGGTTAATTTTGCAACTTGGAAATATTTGCGATTTTTGCGAATTGAAAGTATTCGCAAATGATTGATCATGCAAAAATTATTCCTTTTCGGCAAACTTTCTCCTATCATTTGAAAACACGTTTTCATACAGCATCTCACATGAAAGTTTGACTGTTCAAGTACTGAGATTAATTGTTCTCATTGCTTGTTTGTTTAGGTTTGTTAATAATACAAAAGGTTATTCATATTATAACAAAAGAATGTTTCAAAATATGACAAAGAAATGTGTGACCAGGTCCTTTATCAAACTAACAATGTATATTTCAAACAATTATATAAATAATAATGGTATGTATTAGATTACTGAATAGAACGATTGCAATAACGCCATATTCTAAATATGTACCTGGTTCATTTATGATATCACAAAAACAGTATTAAAGTCATGAAATCATATTTTGGCTAATATTTCCGTAAGTAATAAGACCACTTTTTGACATTAGCAAAATATATATTTCTGCGACGCAAAAATATCCACTTATACAGTATCTGTTGCCACCAGCAGGCTATGGGTTTTACAATGCCATGACATCAAGTTTGTGTTACATTCACCAGGATATGAATTAAAAATTCCTTTTATAATTAAAAGTTACATGCAATTTCAAAATCATTTATAATATCACTTATACATCTGATGATAATTAATTTTTTATTTTTTTTTTTAAATTTTACTTGACAAACACTACATATCAATGATAATAGTTATTTGTAGAATGGAACATTTGATTATATTCACTTTTTATTTTTCAGAAATATAAGCATTAATTTTAAAATCGGCTTATAACATATTAACTCCCAAAACTGAAGCCTCATCTCTTAAGGTTTTTTTTTCTTCAAACTTTGATAAAATATTTGCCCTAAAATACATCATTATGGATACATTTATATATAATGTAACCTGTTGATATGGCCAGTGTTTTGACCCCCTCAGTATCCCAGCTAGTATTTCCATGGCACATCGTTGACTGGAGTCATGTTTATCATGACTGGTATCACTCACTAATCTCTCTATATGTGCTTTAAAATTCTCTAACAAACAGTCACCATAGTTACGGAACAATCCCTGTAAATAAATAAAACTCTTTTATCACTTAATAAAGAATGATATATGACAGACAATGTTATACTAGTAACTTACCACTACTTCATTAAAAGGCCCCAAAATGTCCTCCAAAAATGCTTTTATTCTTATTTTTCAAAAGCTTTTTATTTTTGGTGTCCTGTTGAAAAAGTTTCCAAAAAGTTACTTATTGGCCAAATACCTGAACCTTCTTTTGCTTCTATTTCTATTTGGCAATAAGTACATTTATAGTGATTTAGTATTTTGTATGGAAGGCAAAATACTACTTTGTTTACAGTTTGCCACTTTTTTGACAAATAATGTCACATTCAGCCCTTCTTTCTTCAAGTGATAAGAATCCTACATGCTTTAAAACCATTATTTAAATGTTTTAAAATTCATTTCTTGTATTTCTAAAGAGTGAAAAGTTTGTTTGTTTCTCGGGACTAATGTGCTTTAAATCCGGAATCAAGAAAAAATATCAGTCTTAGTGGTGTTTATCAGCTATTTAACACTGGTTTGGAGTTTTAATGCATAGGAATTGACCACGAAGGCAGTATCATTGTATGTCAAGGTGAAAATTAAAAGTCATCAAGATAACAGTATAGAGCCTGGTCTGACAGCATGGTAGTGCAGACTGGCCTGGATCTTTACTGTGTGTAAAGACCAGTCACTTTCAGTTCCACAGGATAAATTTTTATACAGTTTTAACTTTAAATCAATGTTTACAAAATAAAAATTTGCAACTTTTTAAAATTAAAGAAGAACAAGAGGGTCATGATGGCCCTGAATCGCTCATCAGAAACAACTGTTTTTGAGTGTTAGAAAGACAAGTCCAACTCAACTTCAACTGGCCCCTCAAATTATATAGTTTCACAACACTAATTTTTTTTTCTTTAAAATAAACAAGAGCTGTCGGTAGGACAGCAACGCTCGACTATTCTTAGTGCTTGATAGTAAATAAAATGCTTGATACAGTTACCTCCTCCTGTTTACAGGTTGGGGTCATGATGGTGAACAAGTGTGCAAAGTTTCAAAGCCATATGTCAATGGACTTTGAAAATATTTGAACTATTACAAAAACTTTAACGTAAATTCTAAGTCGAAAAAGGGGCTTAATTCTGTCAAAATGCTTGATAGAGTTACCTCCTCCTGTTAACAGGTTGGGGTCATGATGTTGAACAAGTGTGCAAAGTTTCAAAGCCATATGTTAATGGACTTGGAAAATATTTGAACTATTACAAAAACTTTAACGTAAATTCTAAGTCGAAAAAGGGGCATAATTCTGTCAAAATGCTTGATAGAGTTTCCTCCTCTTGTCTACAGGTTTGAGTCATGATGGTGAACAAGTGTGCAAAGTTTCAAAGCCATATGTCAATGGACTTTGAAAATATTTGAACTATTACAAAAACTTTAACGTAAATTCTAAGTCGAAAAAGGGGCATAATTCTGTCAAAATGCTTGATAGAGTTACTTCCTCCTGTCTACAGGTTGGGGTTATGATGGTGAACAAGTGTGCAAAGTTTCAAAGCCATATGTCTATGGACTTTGAAAATATTTGAACTATTACAAAAACTTTAACATAAGTGGTTACGCCGACGCTCGGGTGACTGCAATAGCTCTACTTATTCTTATCGAATAGTCGAGCTAAAAAGGAACCTTTCACAAAAGGTCAAATTTGAAGTAAATCTGCCAAGCAGTTTAAGAGAAAAAGATGAATATTAACACATGACCGTGCCAGTCTATGGACGCCAGAGCAGCCCCATTCGATACTAATAGCTCAACCTGAACCTTTGGTTCTGGTCAGCTAATAAAAGAGCCAAAATTTTGAGAAGCTAGTATTCGTGGGAGAAAGCTGAGCTTCTATCATCTAGTGTCATGTCAATATATGAACATGTGGTTTAATTTTACTTCAGAAATCTTCAAACCACCATGTTTGTGAGAGTAGCTTTTAGTGCAAATTTTATGCTATTGTTTCTACCTAAACCACCATGAGTAGGCATGTTTTAATTCTTTTTAATCACTTATAATTTACATAATAAGAAATAAAAATGGATTTTGATAGAAAAAAAATTCATCTTAAAATGTAGCTTGAACTTAGAGAAAATGTACCAATGAAATGTACCTTAAACAAAGTCATTTTCTTCTGACTAAATTTGTCTTTGTTCTTGTTTTCCTCCAGTGCAAGGAAATCTACAAGTTTCTGTACATAATCTTTGTTGCTGAAGGCATTATACACAACTTTCTCCCCCTCTGTCAGCTCATCTGTGCTTCTATTTAACTTTGGCTGCTCACTATGTGGAGCATATGTTTCCATTTCTCTACAAAAGATAATTGTAAATAGCAAACAGGCTACATTAATGAACTTCGTTTTTGTCCATGGTAAAAAAAAGACAGGGATTAAAGAAACACTGTCATAAAATGTAACTTTGTTCTGATTAATGCTTCCCAGGGATCACCTTCTTTCCAGATTTTTACATAAACTGCCTGGTAAACATCTTCATATACACTGCAGCCTCGATATATCGCTCTTCAATATAACGCTAATCTCTGTATAGCGCTCATAGACCTGGGCTCCCAAAAAAATAAAAAAATCCCCCCCCCCCCAAAAAAAAAATTTAAGTAGATCTAGATTTATAGTGCACTATAACGCTTGTTCAATTTGACAGTCAAGTACGAATCCCGGACAATCCCCCTCCCGGACGATTCCCCTTCCATATTATTTTCACAACCCGGACATTTCCCCTCCCGTTATTTTAATAGGGCGGACTTTTCCCCTCCCGTTAATTTAGCAGAGCGGACAATTCCCCTCCCATTTTTTTAGCAGAGCGGACAATTCCCCTCCCGTTTTTTCACATTGCGTATTAAAAAAATCTATAACCATTCTTATCAAAGATGACAGTTTTTACTCTTAACAAATAAACTGTTAAAGATCGGAACTTTTAACAATCATTATTTCACAAAAGTGACATTATACCGCCTTTAATCATTGCCGCCGCTGCTTAAGATAAACAAACTGTCAATAAAAAATCTTTAATCATTGCCGCCCTTAATTAAATGTGTCCTTGATTGCAAAATGTATATATACCTTTCAAATAAACAATATTATATAATATATATTAGGGATGTCATTCGGAGTCCGGATATCCGAACGTTCGGATAACGATTAGTTTGACAATACATATCATAACCTCTGCAGTCCACAAAAAATTCAATAATTACTATAATAATTACGAGTCAATTATGAAACATGTTGTTAATCAAATTTAAGTTTTGTAAGATTCTAAGTCCCGTGCGACTGTCATCGGCAACGATGTTACATTTTTTTATGTCCAAATTTAAATATTAGGTTATTATATTTATATATATTTCGGCTTACCGACCCGTCGACTCCTTATTTTTAGACATTGAAAAATCTGCAGAAAAAAAAATAGCAAATAAAGAAATTCACTTACGCATTATATGTTAATTATCAAAGCTTTTATTGAAATTGATACGAAAATTATCCGACAAAATAACTTTCTCCTTTAGTATTAATCAAACATGTGCATTTTTTTAAAAACATTTTTTTTTCACATTTCTTTTTTCACTTATGAACACTTAAAATGTGTGTAATTCATGTAAGTTTCGGCACTTTCTTTGATGATTCGAATCAAACAGCCAGTGCTACATGATGGTAAACATCAAAGATTGGCAGATTCTTTTGAAAAGCCGGCTACACGCGTGTCAAAGGTCATCGTGTGTAAATTGTATGCGTGTTATTGAACAATGGAAACATTATATTTAATTTTTACGGGTATTATTTTGTTTTCACAAATGTGAGCGAATTTTATTGCGTACTATAGCGCTAATTGAGGAATTCAGACAATCGGCGGCGATTTTCGTTTCCATTTCATTTGAAATCGTAAGTACCACACGCACTAAATTTATTAATAAAAGCTAGTCGTATTCTATATAGAAGAAATAAAAATTAATAACGGAAGATTTTTGATATGTATCATTCAATTAAAAAGGAAGAAAAACGAAATACTACAATTTGAAAAAGGTCGCGAAGAAATGGTTACGTCATATCAGACATCTAAGAATATGACAACGATCCGAACATCCGGATGTTTGATTCGGATATCCGGATGGCCGTTTCGGCTCCAGATGACATCCCTAATATATATATTCAACAGCCACGGGAGGGAAATTGTCCGCTCTGACAACAGCGGGAGGGGAATTGTCCGGGTTGTTAAAAGAACGGGAGGGGAATTGTCCGGGTTGATAAAAGAACGGGAGGGGAATTGTCCGCCATAAAAAAATAACGGGAGGGGAAATGTCCGGGTTGTGAAAAAACATTCAAATTTACTGGGAGGGGAATCGTCCGGGAGGGGAATTGTCCGGATACCGTCAAGTACAATAAACAATTGTTATTAGGACATTTATGAGCGCCAAAGGTGTGAAAAACATGCCCAGGTAAGTGTTTATCCGCTCTTTTGTTGTTTTACCTGTCCATCAGTCATGCATCAAATTGTTTCCAAAATCTCAAATTCATATCATAACTGTGACATGGGCAACCGGTGGTGAGTATAAATAAACTAAAATTTACACACATATCTTTGACATGTACACTTCGCTGAATTAAATAACCCACACAAGCCCAAAATCAATTTAAAATCCTGCACTGTAAATAGAGCGGCCATGACAGGAAGTAATTGGTGTTTGATTTACTAGGGGACCTAGTGTCCCCTAATAAATCAAACACCATTACAGTAATGGCTAACTGTTTACACTACATTCATGATTGATGTTTTTCTTTCGAAAGTTTTTTGTTTCTTTTAAATATAATTAGTATTATTTGTGAATATAATATATGTTTACATCATTGAATTGTTTAAGAAAAAGATAATGTCGATATTCATTGAACAGTAAGTAAAAATCGTCAGCGTTATATATGTATATGCGGTGGGTGGGGTAATGCGGTAATTTCGCAATGAGCGTTCTAATGAGAGCCTCGGTAGAACACGGTGTTGAGACATTGGACCCCACCATGAGCATTATAATGAGGCTATAGTGTACTCTAAATGACATAAATCCATTACAAGAACACCATATCTTAAACCTTAATTGTTTGGTTTAAATACATGTTAGTTCAGGCATCATAGATACATATCTGCACAAGAAAATGCAAAAAGCTGTATATGGGAACTGTATTCATAAACAATTAGTCAGTAGATGACTACTCTAACACTACTTTGTTTATAGAAAAACTTTTATAATTTTAAAATTTATTTTGACAAATAACAATAAAGAACAAAAGCAAAACTCACTTAGGCCAGGTATAATATCCCCAGTGTGTCTTCTCTATAACCACAAGTTTTTCCCACTTGTCCTGGGTGTCAGGTAAATTCTGTGAGTTATATTTATGCCACCTGTTATCAGGTCTATCTCCAGGAGACAGAGTGTGGCCAGGGGCTGTAACTCCTGTATCAACTCCTTGTTTTGTAGGGTCAAACTTTATCTTCTTGTGGGGTCTTTTATGTTGCTTTTGAATGCCTAATAGGGCAGAGGTGCTTATCTGAAAATAATTAAAAGTTAAGGTATAAATGGGTACAACAATGTTTTAATCCGATTTCTACATTTTTATCTAAGTAGTAAATATATAAAGTATTAAAAATAAATTTCAGAGTATTGTAAATAGCTAACAACATTGAATACTCTTCAAATAAACTGTAATTTAACAGTAAACTTCATCATACTTTGAGGTATAAAGTACAGTAGAACTTTGTTAAGTCAAGGTTGAAAGGACTTGCAGGGAAAAAGAATTAAGACATCAGGACTTCAAATCATGTACCAGTATCAGTTTAATAACGAAATTTTGAGCAACTAACATTTAAAAGTAACTTACAAAAGGCATAACAAAAGGAAGGGGCAATAACTTAAACAGCTTATAGTAAATATATTCTGTTTGATTATAACTCTACATCAGGTCTCTGAAGATCCCCAACCAAACTAATTCATAATGTATATTTCCTGATACTACAATGGCAATTAGAATGATTGCAATCAAAACATATTTTCATACATAGGGACACACACAAAGGCTGTAAGAACACAAAATTCTGTACTTTAAGGTTATAAATCTATATCTTATGAAATATTTTTATAAAATTTATCAACAGTAAAATTATATTGGTTCCATTATTATATGGCTGATTCCCGTAACAGTTGTAACATAGATTGACTCTGTTATTTAATACACATGTAAAATGTACGTAAGCAGAATAAAATGTTCCGAAACAAAATATCATTTTGCCATTTAAGTAGGATTTTATCCATTTAGCAATGACTTTGTTCATGCGCCACTTTATTGCCATTTTTATTTCATAAAAACATTTTGGAAGTATTTTGTTTTTAAAATCCAAACAATAATTTTTGCTTCAGAGATATAGCTTTATACACTTTAACACCCATCATATAAGTCGATTGGCACTAATCATCATTGCCTAGAAAACATGTGAAAATTTCTCAAAATCTAAGGTGTCAAATAATACAGTCAGAGACTTACCTTTCTCAGATATATGGAATCATCCACACATTTCTGGACAAACAATTCTACAGCACATGTGGGTAATGGTGCATCATGTCTGATTAGTAATGTCATAAACTCCATGCCTATCTGACAAAACTTCCATCTCCTGTATGTAACAAAATACAAATTATAAGCAAGCATTTGATCGGTTAAACCCTGTACTGGAAATGATAGTCTTTTTACACATGAACCACCGGAGTGTAGTTAAGCCATTTAATAAAAACAATATTGCAGTAGTGTAATAACACTGATGTGACATCATTTACATTATAGGCTAACATAATATGATTTTAAATCAATTAAGTATTAATCTACACTCATTCAAAATCCTCTATTTATATTCCACCTATAGAACCTGGCCACACTGCAAAACTATCTGCTGTTTTACCAGATGCTAAACTACACAGTACTCAAAGTAATAAAGGTCAAAACATTATTAAAAGAAGAAGTCCGATACATTTATTCAGAAAGGTAATGGTAAAATCAGGTCATATTTAAATATTTGCCAATTGGTGCTATGAACTTTAGATATTAAATATTCCCTAACATTATCAATACCTTCAGTTTTGATACAAAACAAATTAAACTGTGTTACTGCAAAACTAATACCTTTTTTAAGGATTGCCTTTGTTTAAATTTACCTTGTGCTTAAATTTACCTTGGTTTGATATAATATGTAAGAACTAATTAACAATTTAAACTTAATAGAAGGTAATCTATTTAATAGCAGTTAAATGATTATTTCAAATGTATGTAAGAAAAGAAGCAATAAAATCTATTAAGATCAAACTGTGTAAGTATACCACATCTGGATAAATACATTCCTTTTTCAGAGATATTTCTACACATAATATACAAATGAAGACCACTTACAAGTTTCCTCCAGTGACTAAGCCAGTGAGTTTGGTTACTAAGTCAACATACATTCTGTAAATATTTAAACAAATATAAACTTGGCATCTCATTGCAAAATCTTCAGTACATGGAAATTTTCTCTAGACTTTGTCCCAATATGTGACATCAAAGGTTTTAACAAACTTAGCATATAAAAACATAAATAAAAAACATGCATGTATCTTTTTAAACATAAATCATTTCAAACAGTTTCCAGTAGAATATAGCATTTGAATTATGATTAAACCAAATAGAAGATCAATGTTGAAAGACGTTGATAAAGAGTTTTTTTAAGAAAAGAAATGTTAAGTACAAAAAGAGATATAAAGAAAAAGAAAAAAATGAAATAAAAATACAGTAGAACTTTTATGAGTCAAACTTTGAGTCGAAATTTTATATGTCCAATTTTACGATGTGTCAAAGTTTTCTCGTGGTCCGTTTAGAATAAATCAAGTACAATTTACCATAAATAAGTTGAGGTCCTTCAATTATTTTGACATCTTTAATCACGAGACATTTTTCACACATTTTCTGGTTGCAAAGATTAATTCCGATCAACTTATTAAACAAGTGTTAACAGGCCTTTGTATGGGTTATCTTTGATGAAAAAGGGGGTTAAATCTGTATGATAAAATTTGCTCTTATTGATAAAATTTTAAAATTTGTTTGTAGCTGTTTTTTGAAAAAAAAACAGTAAAAAATTAGTTTTTTTTTTGGGAAGTACCATAAACCGGGATGTCGGGGTGTTTAATCACACAGGATATATTTACTAATAACTGGTTAAGTTATTGCCCTTTCCTTTTGTTATGCCTCGCTTGTAAATGTTGAATGTTTAAAATTTTGACATTAAAATGAGACTGAATCATGAGTTGAGGTCCTGATGTGTCAAAGTTTTTACACAAATCCCTTCAACTTCCACTTACCAAAGTTCTACTGTAGAAGTAAAAATATGTTAAATTGTTATACATACTTTTGACATTTATCATTGGTGCTAGACTCGTGTTGTATGGCAGCCTGTAATTCTATACTAGAACAAGTACCCTGAGATGGTAGTGGGTGCTGAGACTCGAACAATTTACCAGCTGCTGCTAAACTTCTCTCATTTACCTATAATAATAGCAATCAAACCTTTAAATAAGTGTGAGTTATATATCAAAAACATAAACTTATATCAACATTATATATTCATGTATATAACAAACAAATAGCTTTTTTATGGCTTTTCTATATAAATAGGGTTCTACACAATTAGGAAAGTATTGAATATAAATAGGTATCAAAGCTTAACTCTATTTAAGCCTTAAATTAGGACAATGAACATATGATGATATGAGCTGACCTTAAAAAGCATGAAAATCAACCAACATTGATTAATGAGAATTATTTCTTTACTTAGTAACAATGTAGCTTCCTGTGGAAAACATACATTTTATAAATATCTTAATTACCACATCAGTATAAAATACTATTTCTTATCAATCTATCTATAGAACTTGTGTTTAATACACCAGTTACAATGATTGAATGGCTATATTCTACTTCATCTATTTTCATCAAGACATGGTGGACAATATAGGTCTTTTAAAGGCCCATTATGCCTTAAAAAAGCTATAATTTTTATTTCTCAATTTCTTTACTTAAGGTATCTTTTTATAGTTCCTAAACAATACTCATTTGTCATGTACATGAACTGTCTTTTACTTTTTTAGCTCCGTTGGCGATGAATATAATTATTGTGACTTATAGTGAATTACTATTTTGTATGAAAGTCAAAATACTACTTTGGTTACATTTAGCTACCTTCACAACACAATACTGCACATTCAGCGCAACTTTCTTCAGTTGTTAAACATCTAATTTGCTCTAAACATGTTTGGCTTACAAAAATATGGATTTCTGAGGCATAATGTGCCTTTAAATTTACATTTTTAAAATTTATGTGTTATACGATAGAAAATGTTGCCTCACCAAGATTTTTATTTCTGTGGTTTCTGCATTTTTGACAGTTTTGCTAACAATTTGATCAATCAGGTTGAGTATGGAAGGTTTCTCGGAATGCTGAGCCTGGGTTATAGCTGGCCATACTTTACTGATTATCTCCCAGCTACGCTTGGTTGCTATGTTACGCTTATTGTTACCAAGTACCACATACAAGGCTCCCTGAAACAAGCATAAATAAAGTCAATGTCATGTAAACAATTTAGACAAAGGCATCACAACTGAAATTTCTTGTTTTAAGACAACTGTTGCTTTGTACAGAAATACAAATAAAAATTACATTAACTACAAATGCAGCCCATTGATTAATAGATTTTTGTGTTTCGCAATTTCAATTCTGAAAAAATATATACTGATAATTACATTTCTACCAAGGACAATACATTTTTGCAATTGATAATTACAAATTTTGACATGGTGATAATAACAAATTTCAATTGATTATTATGATAATGATAATTAAATACAAGCTGATCAGGTATGTAAAATGTTGTTTAGACAGTTTGTTATACATTACCTGAAATTCATGTTCCGGGGTATCAGGGCTGAGCACTTTGCTAACTAAAGGATCTACAAGAGTTCTGTAGGAATATGGATAGTTATGGAAATGTTGAAACAACACAGACTGGGCTTTTTTTCTAACCTGAAATATCAACAAAATATTGAAAATAATCTGTCATTAAAGCTGCATGCCTCCAGGTGAACCAAATTTTTTTTTCAAGATAAAAAGATTTTATGAGCATTAATGACTCATTTTTCAGTATTTATCACCATATATCTATTTTGTGACTTATGCAGTAAGGGTTTTTTTCTTCTTCTTCTTCATATTTTGACCTCTTCTTCATATTTTGGCCTCATTTTTTCATATTTTAACTGTATTGTGTGTGAAGTTTGCAATGTGTAAATTAAGCCCAATTACACACAGAACTGTTTTGACTGTCTACTGACGATGTCTTAAAAATTACCAACAAGTTTCACATTTTTATTGAAATCAAAATATAAGTAAACTATCACAAGATACATACCTCACTGTATCTACTTATAGACAATGTGTATAGATCTTGAAGCAATTCCTGATGTCTGGCTGTAAAAGACCTGTCTGTCTTCTGTAGACATCTCATCTATAAATATACATTTTCTGGTTGAGCGATTGGTGGTTCTTTTACACCCAACTTTATGTCCATTTGGATAATTATTAAACTCTTACATTATTTTGTAATAAACATCTTATTCTGACAGGCATTTTCAATCAATACAGGTGTTTTGGTTTTTAGACACAAATGAACAAGAGGTTGTCACAGCTATTGATTGCCTTACCATGAGGAAATTATAAATGTATATACATTAGTTATAATAAAATAAACAAGAATTCCAACATATTCCTAGTAAAACACACATGACTTGTGCGAATTGCTAGGGAATTTCTGCTTATGATGTACAACAAATAAACATTGAAAAATTATGAACAGTCACAAAAAAAGCTTCATTCAAATTTTATATTAACTTTTGGGTAAACATGTTTTGCTAACATTCAAAATGTGTATTTGTTTACATGTTTTGCAATTTTAATCAAATACTACATGTAATCAAAACTAACCTTCTTGTACTATACTATCTAGCTTACCTGATGTTGTAAGAGAACCCTGTCTACTAGAATGGCTCGCAGATGATTCTTACCACCTCTTAGCTGTAATTAATTAAAACAAAGATACATGTATACAGTTTCAGGTACACAATTTAACTCTTAGCAGCAGTATTGACTTTCATATGGCACCAATACAATATACTTGGCTAGGCCAACCTGCATGTATGTTCAATATCACATGGCTATATTTTAGTACATGTAATTGATAAAGTTAAATATTTGGTCATGAAATCTATTAATGTATAGCTCCAAACTGATAGTAAAATAAATCCATTTCTCACAATTATACATTTATTTGACATAACAATGTTTGAGGCAAGAAAACTTTTTAAATAAGTATAAACTTAAATAGTGACAAATATTTACAAGTACATAGTATTCATTAAGTGATTCTTACAATCTCCTCTGCTTAAAATACAACTTGAATTAATATCAGCTCTTGTCTTCATCAAAAGTGAAAAAGCAACAATTGAAAGTTATAATAAAACTTTATAGGGTACAAATGAAGTCTTTAAATTGAGACTTTTATGTTCATTGTTCCAAATAATATATTATCTCAAATACACAGTACAAACCTTATCTTCTAAAGCTTTCTTGACGGCATGGAAACTTTTCCATCTAGCATCAAACTCCCCTTCCGGTATACCATGGAAAAACAGTACTGATTCATATATCTGTAAAATATAAGTTTTATAAGTCTTTATTAAAAAAATCCGCTAAATCTTGTTCTTCATAATTACCTCTTGAGTATTTAATTTTATTTTTGAGGTATATTTTCTATTTAATTTAACAACAACTTTCAAGACAGATTGTTTTTCTCTACTCTCAAATAATCATTATCTGTGGTGTTGAGAGAGTGGCCAATAGAAATATCATAAGAAATTCATTTTCATGTCTCAGCTACCTAAACTCTAATGAATTTGACCCTTACCCTAATGGAAAAGTCTATATAGGGCACTATCAAAAATAAAGATCTAAAATAATAAGTCTACAAATGAAAAACGTGAGAAACAACAAGTGTGACAGATGAACGGACTAAAGCACAAATACCCATTTAGAAATATTGTAGGAAGCAAATTAAAAATCATTTTATCTACATACCCTTAAAAGTCTGTGAAAACTTTTTGTATCATCCTCTGCACATGACAGCATATATCCTGAAACAATAAACTAGTTGATTAATGACTCAACACAAAATGTGACCATTACACATTCAAATCTTTTACAAAATAAAACATGATATTCCTGAAAAAAACTTGCCTATAATAAGAACAAGCTAAACTTGAATATTGTTATAGGCAATTTGTTTCTTTTAATTGTTTTTGGTGTGTAAAACAATCTCATATCATAACATTCAAGAAACCTGAAACTAAATTTCCTTGAAATCGTCTACAAATAAGTTTAAAAGTGTTAAATGGTTTTCAATATACACTGAAGTTTTACAAAAAGTCACATGTAAGAGGTTAAACTCACTGAGCAATTTTCTGATAGCCTCGATAACAACCACCCTTACATTCTGTCCACCTGATACAGTTACCTCTGTAATAAAACCAATAGACAATATATATAAATACATTCTTTATCTTGTACTGCCTTAAATCCAACAGATAGAAACTTAAAATTAAAAAACATTTTGCTATAACATCAAATATGCTATGCCATATTTATTTTTCAATATCAAAGATTGTAAGTGTTTCATCAAACTTCATCAAAGATTGGCACTACCTTAATAAAAATGCTGAATTTGTTCTAATGATTTTTTTTCAACAAACATCTTATATCTTCTGAATACAAGAAACAGTTTTACAAGTTAATAAAAGTAATACACATCACATTTCAGTAAGAGGAAGGTTAAATGAAAAATGTCTAAATACCTCTGTTACTTCCACAAGATTTTGCACAACCAAATCTTTTAAGAGGAACCTGACTTTCAATCCTATAATATAAAACATCAACACTTAAAAAAAATAATAAAACATAAACAATTCTTGCCATTCGTATAATTTTTTTTTTTTTTTTTTTTTTAAAACTCACAAAGTTCTCAGTCCAGAGATATTGGTCTTAACTGTTTACTAACCATCAAAGGGAAATATCAGAATAACCATGTGGAAAATAATTTTGTAGTTTTTCTTGAAACTTTTTATAAGATGCACTTGTAGGTCATCTGACCGATGTATTCAATTCGGTATATTATCCATCATGTTCTAAAGAAAGTTATCTTTAATTTTTAAGTTAACATTGTATCATTTATGCCTGCTGTTTAAATGACCTGAAAATTAAGTTCTTGTAAATGAGCTTCTTAATGTGAACCTCATTTTTTTAAAATTCTTTGGATACCTTGATCTACAAGCAACTACTTATATATTTCAGTGTGAAGGTGTTCAATTTTTCTTGTGCTTTTAGCTTGAAATTACACTCATGCCAACAACACTATTACAGTCACATGGCTTCTTTCCAGATGCATTGTGGGTGGGTTGGAAGTGAGGAAATATTCCTAATCCAAGAAATGCCTTTTACATAATATTTTAAACAAGAAGTGTAACTTGGTAAAACAAACAAGTATCTGCAAACTTGTAATGTATAAAGTTTGGCAGCTGTTTTCTTTCTTTCTTTTTTATGCACTTTTACAATACACTTTACATACTGAAAGGTTTTAATAACATCCTGTGATGAAAGAATTGGAGAAATTTCTAGCCTTACATAGAGATGTGATTTCCTTGCCACATAGGTAACACACCACCTGCACCATTCAAACATTCCATTATAATGTTGAGACGTCTTAATAAATCCTCCCTGAAAAACAATGAAATAATTCTTTTCAAATACAGAATAAAAACATTTTATTTTCAAGGGATAAAAAGAAACATGAATTTTTTTAAGTTTGACTTTCATTTGTTGTAAAACTTTCACTGTCTGCACAGATTCCATGGCTAAAATCCAGTAGCAAAACATTTATGCCCATATGTTTCAATGTACAATGTATTCCTCACCTTTGGAAGAAAAATCACTTTATTTCATTTGTTAATCTATATTTAACGGTCTGAACTTCTCAGCCACATCTCCTTTTTTTCAAATTATTTATTAACAACTAAAAACAAGTTCAACAAATCATTAAAATAAAGCACCAATACTTCAAACACTACACACCTCGGTATGGCATTCTCAGCTGATATTTGTTTAAGAGTGTTAAGTTCAGGTACTAAGAATTTCTCTAACAATTCTTGTACAAAATCTGTTTCTTCCTGACAAGGTTCATGCCATTCTAGACCAAGGTTGTCTATATCTCCTGGCTTTGCCCATTCCTATGATAAAATGGATAAAACATAATTAAACACTGCATGACAAATACCAGTACAATACACTTATGTGGAGTAAAAAACAGGAGAAAACTTTTGTTTAGTATGAGAACTGTAACATTCCTATCTCTATTTTTTTACAGAAGCTTGAATAAGGTTGTTTGGAGTTTTTGATGCCTGTTTTGTTTAAGCTTCAACCAAATAACACTTTTAAGGTTATAAGCTTGATAAAGAGAAATACATACAGGTGCCCTCCATACATTACTCTGGACACTAGCTGGCAACTGGGTAGATTCACCAAACATGACAAAGCTAATTGCTATGCTTTTTCATGTAGATAACAACATACAATAAGGATTCAAATAACATAGAGATAATGTGATGTACCTTAACCATTAACCCTATATGTACAATATCAGAAACACATATTTTTAAACTATACAAAAATACAAAGGCATTTACTTACCCTTATGGCAAGATATTCTGTGACAGGTCTGTCAAGAGATCCACTAACACTAGCATAATTTACTGGAAAGACTAAAGTAAGACCACGTAGTAAATACATCAGTGACTTGCCGGCTATCTCATATCCCTGTACACACTGTAGTCTCAGTATATATGTGAACACATCAACTATCTTAGTCTTATATGGTAATAAATAGGACCCGTTACATCTTAACAACTGAAATAAGAACAAGAAACATGGCAATGCCATGAAACCAGGTTTTCAATTATCACCATTGTAGATAAATATGTTGTATTTGAAATACAAATACAAGCAACAAACAATGTAACTATGTGCAATGTAAAACATGAATAATGTAGGAGGAATTGCCACTGAAGAAGTGTTCACTATAATATTATGTATAAGGAAAAAAACAAAGGGCCATAATTAGGTCAAAAACTATCCAATCACAAAACCCCAACAATATGTGCCAGGGTGCTTGATGACAAAGCTTCTGTGAAAGTTTGAACAAAATCCGTTGAGAAATGTAGGACGAGTTCAGCACAGAAGAATTTGTTCACTATAATTATATTGATAATTCTGTATAATGAAAAACAAGTTACAAAGTAGACATGAAATAATATATCATATCTTTTTTAAATTACCTCCAAAGATGATATGACCTTTGACTGCCAAATCAAGTTAAAATCATGTAAACAGGATTTTCAATGTTAATGTCACTGTGACCTTGACCTTGGAGCCAGCCATGCGGAACATGCGTTCTGCACGTCATCTTGATGTGGTAAACATTTGTCTGAAGTTTCATCAAAATTCTTCAAAGGGTTGAAGAGTTACAGAGGGGACAGGATTTTCAATGTTAATGTCACTGTGACCTTGAACTTGGAGCCAGCCATGCGGAACATGCGTTCTGCACGTCATCTTGATGTGGTAAACATTTGTCTGAAGTTTCATCAAAATTCTTCAAAGGGTTGAAGAGTTACAGAGCGGACAGGATTTTCAATGTTAATGTCACTGTGACCTTGACCTTGGAGCCAGCCATGCGGAACATGCGTTCTGCACGTCATCTTGATGTGGTAAACATTTGTCTGAAGTTTCATCAAAATTCTTCAAAGGGTTGAAGAGTTACAGAGCGGACACAATTTCGTTTGACACCCGCCCGCCCATCCGCCCAATGTCACTGTGACCTTGACCTTGGAGCCAGCCATGCGGAACATGCGTTCTGCACGTCATCTTGATGTGGTAAACATTTGTCTGAAGTTTCATCAAAATTCTTCAAAGGGTTGAAGAGTTACAGAGCGGACAGGATTTTCAATGTTAATGTCACTGTGACCTTGACCTTGGAGCCAGCCATGCGGAACATGCGTTCTGCACGTCATCTTGATGTGGTAAACATTTGTCTGAAGTTTCATCAAAATTCTTCAAAGGGTTGAAGAGTTACAGAGCGGACACAATTTCGTTTGACGCCCGCCCAATATCCGCCCGCCATACCCCAATCTAATAACCAGGATTTTCAAAATTGAAAACCTGGTTAAAAATTACAATGATAGTTGAAACAATTTCT